AAAAAAAAAAAAAAAAAAAAAAAAAAAAAAAAAAAAAGGAAAAGTGGAAGGGAGGGTGCAAAGGTGGGCGGTTCTGGGAGACGAATCACCATCGTGTGAGTGCATCGCTCGCTGCATCACCAGCTAAGTGTGGGGAGGAAAAGGGGGCATGGGAAAGCAGCCATACATGCATGTATAAGAAGAAAGCAGAATGAGAACCCGAAGTCTGTGTGTGAGTGAAGAAAAAGCGAGAAGGGAAAAAGTTGTAAAATAGCCACAGCGCCGATTTGCTAACGTGATTCAAAAACTTGCTGTTGCTTGCGAGTAAGTCTACGCCGGGAGAATTGGAAGATGAAGGGTGAAAGCTTGAGGGTGGGGGGAGGGATATTAGAGGGTTTGACGGTTGGGGTGTTGTTTGTAAGGTTGGGAAGGACGTAGAGGGTGGTTGGTAGCGATGTATTACTAAAAGAAAAGAACGTGGTAGGATGAAACGGAAATGGATTCTGGGACTGGGGAATATCGATGGAACCTTGGCGCCGGTGGTGTGTCTGTAACAGAGTTGCGCTAATAGAGGACAGTCGGTTCGGAGTAGGGAGGTGATGTTTCGTTCACGGTGCGTTTGGTTCAGGTGGGTAGGATGCGTGGTCTCCTATAGCTCCATGTGATAGAAAGGAAGCGGATCCGCTCTGTGGACTTCTAGCATGTCACCAGGTTGATATGGTGGTCATTCAGTGCCGCACAGGCCAGAACGGTCCGATGCGGGTGGAATGCGGTGCTGGCGATTGGGGAGGAGCGGTTGTGATGGAGGAAGCTCGAGTAGGGCTCGAAGGTGGAGAGATAGGATCCATCGACGTTGAAAGTTTTCACTTCGTGACGGTTCGTGCCCCTGTGGACTGGTTAGCAAGTGTTCACCATTTGAAGAGAAAAAAAAAAGTTAGGGAGGTGAAAGGGATGCATACACCATGAAGACTGGAGCATGCTCGTGGACACTTAGAGTACGCAGTGTGTCGTTTGTGGCGGAGAAGGTAGAGATGGGCATGTCCATGCGTAGATCCCAAAGCTTGATTTCACCGTTGCGACTCCCGGACACAAGCTCCCTCAGGCCGCCGCGCTGCATGTGAACATTGGTGATCCATTGCTTGTGCTCGCGCCAGACCTTGACCATAGACGTTGTGGGCTTAAGACGCTGGTCAAACACCCGGACTGCGCCGTCACCGAATCCTGCCACAAAGATGTTTCCTGCTACTTGATCGGAAGTCAAGGAGGTGATACAAGAGCCCGAACGAGCAGGAATGTCCTGCGAATTGATCAGCCTTAGTCGGCATCTTGAGCCAGGAGTGACTTACATTCGTGCAGACTTCGGTAGCCGCATTCCACACCCGGATGACCTTCACGTCACCTGCAACTAATGCCTTACCCTGGCCTTGTTGCCAGTCCAGAACAAGTCCAGCATTGCGGTTGCTGGGAATGAGTTCAGGTAGGGCTCTAAAAGCAGTCACAATTTCCACATCATGCGCCGACTCGTAGTTTCTGAAAACTTTCAGGACACCATCAGATGACCCAGTCATCAACAGAGCTTGGTCATCCTCGTTGATATATCGGACTTCATTGATTTTGGAACCAGCCGGGTTACCGTTCGAGAAGCGATTGAGACGCTTATGTCTCTGCCAATCCCAAATCCTACCAAGGTTTCAGCGCATACTCAGTGCGGTTCAGACAGGTGAAGAACTTACGCGATCGTATCCTTGTCATCTGCAACTGCAATGTGATCCTCGAATTGGTGGAAGCACATCTTCAGAGGCTGACTGCTGTTAGAAAGAAGAGACAAAGAATTATCCCATCGGCTGCTGCCTGCTTTGCCCTTGAGAGGCTGGGTCTCAGAGATGATCTTCTCATTACGGCTTCGTCTCCAGAGGCGTTCGTTGTAATCGGCACTACCGGGCTCATCGGGTTCATTGGGTTTCATCTGGGGTTCCCGGAAATACTGAAGACGGGTGAGAAACTGTTCAAATTCGTAGTGAAACTTATCGCTCATAAGGTGAAGGAGTTCTGATTTTACCTCTGTGGACCAGTCCAAGAATCTACTCATCAAGGGAATGGCTGGGACCGCAACGGATTCCCGGGGCTCGAATCCTCGCGACGTAGGGGTGGGAGCTTGATTATAGGCCGTTGCGGGAGCAACTTGGTCATTAACTTCCGGGGGGCGTGTCCATTCGGGCGGGGCTCGTCCTCTTGGGGTCATAGGCATCCGGCTCTTGGGCGCGGTGAGAGATTGAGGCGATTGGGGTGGTTGAGATTCGGACGCATTAGAGCCTCCGAAGGCCAGGTTTTTAAGCGAGGCCGCCACACTCGCAGTTCGTTTGATACTTAGCGAAAGGTAGCCTTCCTGTTTGGGAGGGGCGACAGCGGGTGGTGTCGGCGGAGGCGCGGTTTTCTTTGATTCCGGCTTCTCGACCTGTAATTTCTGAGAAACCCGATTAGAAAGGTCCAGGATTTCGTCTCGAATTTTGTTAGTCAATGAAGCCATCGGCGAATCCAAGAGGCAGATGTGAATGAAGTCAACGATCATGCCTGCGTCCTGCGCGATATCAGGGTGGGGGTCAACAGAGAGGATTAGTAGTTGCTTCCAGATGGTTCCAAAGGTGGTATTTCTTGAGAGGCTATGCGACTTTCGACTCGAGACTGCGGGAACATCTGATACTTCCTTTTGAGTAGGGACTCGAGATCCTGCATGTTTCAGCTTCGAGAGTAAGTTCTGTTTCTCGTCCTGAAACTCCTCGTATGCGGCAATCAAGAACTTGTTCTGATAGCGTTTGACGAAAGCTGAGAAGAAGACTAATAGTTCTTTTCTCACGAGTACACTGCCGTCAGATGACATGGGCAATACTGCCATGGCCAGCGTTTCCTCAATCTGGGCTACCTGGTCGGTTAGGTCCGGGATACCCAGGAAGGTGGTGACCGCATGCAACATGGCAGCTCGTACTTCAGGCACAGGATCGAAATTGAGTTCACAGAGCCGGGCAGGAGCGGCACATCGAATACCCATCCATTTCGCTTCTGGGAAGTCGGACCACAGCATGCTGATACAGAGACACGACCACTGCCGCAACAGCGGATTCTCCACATCCATAAGGTGCTTGAGACAAGAGTCAAAAAGTTCGGCAGAGAGGCACACGTTCTGACCTTGAGGGTAATTTTTGCAGAAGATTGAGACAATGAATGCGCACATAGCCCGATGTTCACTAGCGTTGCCCACAGGGATTGGGGAAGAGGGGTTGAGGATCGAGATGAAGTAATGGATCCCATTGTCCTTCAATAGGTCATTCTGAACAGTATGGTCAACTGCCATGATTCTGGCCCAAATGAAGACCATGACTGGTTTAAGTTCTTGGGCTGCAGACTGCAGAAGCTTAACGACGTAAGGAAAGATACCAATGCTCAGAGCCAGGTGAACCGCCCAAGGACCGAGATCTAGGAATTTACTCAGCAGAATCAGAGCTCGCAATCTGTGTGCCTGACTCAAAAGGACCTGCAAGACAATTGGGAGCTGATCCGGTGGGTTCTTTTCTGTGGGGCCAGACGACAGATAAACCTCGAATGCAGTAAGCTGCTCCGCGAAGAACGTCGAATGCTGGTATTCATATTGCCTGCGACCCTCTTCATGGTCAATCAGGGCGGGAAGCTGCGACAAAACCATTTCGACAGCCAGGTCCCAGCTCTTCCACAGGGGATGATGATGAGTCTCCGGTAATTCAGGCGATGAGATAGGATGGCATTTGTAGGTGCGCATTACCCGCTCGGCCAGCAGGAAGTTCCTGAACAGGGCAGCCACCATCAAGTCTTGACGGAAGAGTTTCTTGAAGAGGGCTCGCGGCAAGGTGTTCCAAGCTATCGTATCCGTGATCGCAGTGAAAATCCAATTCAACTCTCCCAAAGGGCTGCGACGGTCCTGTAGGCGACCAGGCACCCTAAATTCGTCGACAGAAATACTGGTTTGAAGCGGGTTCTGAAGTATGAAGAAGCGCAGCGCGATCTCGATTGGTGTAGTTAGACAACAGGTGAAGAGATCCGCAGGAAGATCTGGATTCGTAGGCAGCGATTCCGCCTTCTGACACGCTGCGAGAATGATGCAATCTCCGTAATTCTGTACGATGGCATTCGGATCCCTCTTTCTCGCCTCGACATTT